GCACACGAGTGCACACCAGCCGTTCAGAAACACTCAGGGTGCGTTCGGGGAGCACGCTATTCGCACAATAAGTATCTAAGACCGTTCGAGGAGACGCTTTGTGGCGCTATAAAATCGATAATGACATCACTCTCAAAGCAGCGTGACGTCATTATTCGCGCAATTTTTCGCTATCATTTTCGAGGGGTGCGTTCGGGGGACACGCTATCACGCAACAAACGCTAACGCTGATAGATGCGTTCGGAGAGACTATAAGCAGCTTACGCTTTCGAGCTGCTCGAACGTTACTTGAGTGAATTTATCGTTACAATATGGCTGATGTTGGTGCAAATATGGATAACCAAAAAAGAAAAAAATTATTTAAGTCTTAAGTTAATTAATTAAGTCTTTTACTTTTTGCTCTGAGTGAATTAATAGAGTCTTCATCATCTGATGACGAAGAAGAGTTGGATGTACTCATTAATTTAAAAGTAGGACGTCGGAAGAAACTGCCAAGACTACAAAATTATGTGGAAGAGGTGATACCTAGGTGGAAAAATCAAGAATTTAAGTCGCATTTTAGGTAATGATAAATTATCTTTAATTAATTTTCAAAGTTCTATACATACATCATAGAATGGTGAACATATTTCACATTATGTATTTATTTATGGTAGCTCAGTAAATACTGCAGCAAAGTAAATGCAATATGTATTTTATCACATTTACATTGTTACGTGAGAAATTATAACATAAATGTAATATAATGTAATGTAATTTTTCAATAATGTCATTTGAAATTTCAACAAAAAGTGTTTAGTATAGTGATATTCGGTATTTATTGGAAAGAAATTAGCTAAATTTTTCTATTAGCATATTCGACTGGACTTGGGTTCATTTGGGTTAACCCATGCTGGGTTAAATAAACCCAGCTTATTGGTCGAACATGTACTATATAGTATAGTATAGTATTAGATTCCCATTTACTTGGTGATGCTGCATATAAAATTCATGATGATTTAATGGTTCCATATCGTGATAATGGTTATTTGACTGAACGACAAAAAAATTATAATTTCTGCCATTCTTCAGCACGAATCGCCATTGAAAGAGCATTTGGTACCTTGAAAGGTCGATTTAGAAGTATATTACACAACCTATCCATGAATCGGACTGACTTAATTGCTCATTATATACTTGCTTGTTGTGTCATGCATAATATTTGTATACTAAGAAATGATGATTTTGACATTGTTTTATTAAATAATGAAGTAGATAATGATATTCCTCGTCAAGTTGCTGCAGATGATACAACAGGTGTTCTGAAAAGAGACTTAATTAGCCAAAGACTTCCAATAAGACTCATATAAATCTTAAAACAGTTCTAATTTTGCTAGGAATGCAATATATTGTTTATTTTAAAGAAGTTTATAAGTTATTATCTTTTATACTTTTGTAACATAGATATAAACTAATATGTACATGTTTAATAAAATAAAAATAGTATAACATATAAAAGAATTCTTTATTTATTTTTATAATAGTATTATATTTAAAAATTGCCATTTCCGTGTTACTTCTAAAATAATAAGTACATCCTCTTTGTTATTAATTTATTTAGGACAAAAAGTAAAAGAATAAAATGAAAGATACATTTTGTTATTGATATTAATTTTATAATAATTTATAATTAATTTTTAACATATACAATTACTCCCCTCGACAGAATAAACATAAAATACTTTGTATTGTCTTGAGGTACAATAAAAATAAAAGCAAGTTATATATATGTAATATTGTTGGTTATACATAAAGAACTAATATCACCAATCCTGCTTAATCGGTCGACCAAGCATTAATATTAATTAATCATTCCCTTCGACAAAATAAAAATGAAATATTTTGTATTGTCTTGAGGTACAATAAAAATAAAAACAAGTTACATATATGTAACACTGTATAAGTAATACTAAGTATAATGTAATACTTAGTTATACATAAAGAACTAATATCACTAACTCTGGTTAACTTTTTCGATCGACCAAGCAGCAAAATTAATGAACCAATTTATTTTTCTGATCAATATGATTGATTAATTTTGTTATAATAGACTAATTAAGTTAACTGAATGTAGTAATTCTGTTCCACATAACTTTCATCAGAAATATTTACCAAACATTTTAATTGTTCCAACATAGAAAGAAAAATCTTATTTTATATATCAGTGTTCTTAACATTAAGTATCACTTATGCATATAACCATTATTCAATTTATCACAGATATACACAAGAAGTTATTAATCTCTTGCTATTATAACTGTTATTTGTACGATTTTCACAACTTTATGCGTTGAGTCTATGACCATGTTTACGCAACAACTTTATCTAACTAATTAACTATATTATAAAAATATGTATGTATAAGCATAAAGTTGAAAATCGTCAAAATAATTCAAATTACAATGGGAAGACATTAGTGAGTATTTATGTGTATAAACTTAATATTAATTATTAATATTAAAAAATAAAGCAAATTTTAAGAATATGTTTAAAATATTAAGGAAGACAGAACGCAGTATAATAGATGTACCAGCTACTATACTATATTTTACAAAACTAAATAAAATATTAATTGTACTAAAAAGTAAACAAGAAAATAAATGCTACATGTTTTATCAAAAACAAAGGAAACAATCTTATAATTTGTACTACAGCTTCGTTTTATCTTTGTTGCATGTAAATTAAAATAAAAACATTTATAATTTGTCTAAAATTTTACCCATGAATTCTAGCATTTGCTTTTTAAAGTCCATGTTTTCTTTGTGCCTCTGATCACTGTTGTTCTCAGCCAATTTCCGACTTCGTAAAATTGATTCAGCAATGTTTGATGTACTTTCTTGTGCCTTGCGCTTCCGAGAATTTGAATAGCTAAATTTTTATTACTTGAGTTTGCATTGTTACATATATTTGCATTTGATAAGTTAGATTCTCTATTAGATCTGGAATTAGAACACATACTGCTTGAAGAGGCTATTGCTGGAGGCGACATAAAAGGTCGTTCACCAAGCAAAGATTCCATGACTTCCATATAAGGCCATGTTCTAAGATTATTCCCTGATTTGCTATTGTGATCTTTTATAGATTTATAAGTTCGTTTCATTCCGTGAAATTTTGAAAGACATTGAGGTCCAGTGACATTATAGCCTTTAACAGATAATGCTGATGCAATATTATTCCATACTTTTTTCTGGGACATTTTACCCGATACAATGTTATTTTCTTGCAGCCGATACTTTTCTACCAGCAATAGAATTGCCGCATGAGACCATTTAAACATTGATTCATTATTATCCTCAGAATTGGAAGACTCCATTGAAAGACTTGCTGCATCAAAATCTGAATCTTGTGATTTTGCTCTTTCTAGAAGATAAGTAGCAAATATCGTATCTAAAAGAATAACGAATAATATCTATATATTAAAGGAGACATAAATCAATCACATTCTTTTATTATAATCTAATTTATTAATTTCCATTATATCAACTGATCTATCTTCTATACTTGGATAATTATTAGCATATAGAATACTTATATAACCTCTGTCATCATAATTACCATTTTCTGCACGCGCTGCATCATTTGGCGATACTTTTATTGTGTATGTCACGTCGTTTTCATCTAAAATATGAATTTCGACATTTTCAGATATTTGACTAACAATGTAAGTTTGTAAGTGATTGAGCCATTGTGAATACAGTTTCTCACAATTTAATAAATTGTCTTTATTTGACTTTTGACGCAATTGGTTTGTTCTTTCTGGTTGCATTGTTGTAATTGGTTGAAAGAACAGCAGTTAAAAAGAACAGATCATAGACTAACACTTTAAAGCACAATCGAACATTCGAGGAGAGAATAAGCGCCAATTAGCGCTAATAGCATATGCTAATAGAAAAATTTAGCTAATTTCTTTCCAATAAATACCGAATATCACTATACTAAACACTTTTTGTTGAAATTTCAAATGACATTATTGAAAAATTACATTACATTACATTTATGTTATAATTTCTCACGTAACAATGTAAATGTAATAAAATACATATTGCATTTACTTTGCTGCAGTATTTACTGAGCTACCATAAATAAATACATAATGTGAAATATGTTCACCATTCTATGATGTATGTATAGAACTTTGAAAATTAATTAAAGATAATTTATCATTACCTAAAATGCGACTTAAATTCTTGATTTTTCCACCTAGGTATCACCTCTTCCACATAATTTTGTAGTCTTGGCAGTTTCTTTCGACGTCCTACTTTTAAATTAATGAGTACATCCAACTCTTCTTCGTCATCAGATGATGAAGACTCTATTAATTCACTCAGAGCAAAAAGTAAAAGACTTAATTAATTAACTTAAGACTTAAATAATTTTTTTCTTTTTTGGTTATCCATATTTGCACCAACATCAGCCATATTGTAACGATAAATTCACTCAAGTAACGTTCGAGCAGCTCGAAAGCGTAAGCTGCTTATAGTCTCTCCGAACGCATCTATCAGCGTTAGCGTTTGTTGCGTGATAGCGTGCTCCCCGAACGCACCCCGGAAGGAATAGCGTTGATTGCGCGCAGTTATGACGTAGACGCTACCGTTAGTGACGTCATGACAGCGTTTGTTAGCGCTCCATCTAGCTCCGTGAGCGATCTATAGCGCTAAATAGCGCAAATAGCGCAAATAGCGTCTCCGTGAACGCACCCAAAGCGAACGCAACTGTAGCAATATGGCGGCCACAAATTAGTTCCGATTTCTCACATGTCCCATCTCAGAGAGCGCTGCTAACGCTAATCATTTTCGCTCCATAAAACCAGCGGCACACGGTGCTTGTTTTCACGCTGGATTGCTTGCTGGATGAAAATACTGCGTTCTGATTGGTGCATTTCCGAAGATGGATGGAAATGCACCAATCAGAACGCAGTATTTTCATCCAGCAAGCAATCCAGCACAAGAACAAGCACCGTGTGCCGCTGGCTTAAGAGTTTGCACGCCCTGGTCTCTAGGCTCGGCTAAAAGCGGCCCATGACACCTCTCCTTCTTCTCTCTGGTAATAGTAATTATTACAGTTATTAATCTTCTAAAGATATTTAAGAAAATTTCTAATTTACTATACTATTGAGTATCTTAATTATTGTTTGAAGACAAGATAATACTGATTAACGCAAGGTAATTTTTTTAACATATTTTACTATTTTATAAGGTTTTATTATTTATATTTATTATTATTATTTATTTATCACTTATACTTATTACTATACTTATTATTTACTTACTACTTTCACTTATTGTTTATATTTATTCATACTTATTTTGTATCATGAATTTTTACGCTTGTTATTTTTGCTTTTATTAGCTTGTTACTTCTGCTTTTGTTGACAATCTGTCATTTAACAGATGTTCTACCCAACTCATTTACTTTCTCATCGAAACAAAGGCAAACTAGCACCTTGCTGGCTTGCCGCAACATGTAATGAAAAGTCATTTAAGAAGTATTACAATGCAGCTGCCATTAAGAGGATAAATATTACAATAACATGGTATATTATTACATTTGCATATCCTTACAAAATAACATTCTTTATAATCTATTCTTTATAATCTGATGTTTTATTGATTATATTGTCAGCGAAGAGATTTTGCAAGCAATACAATTATGCAATGGCAACACACAGAGATTTAGTTTATATCTGTCATCACAGCTGATGTATGGTTTAACAAGAATTTTTTCGTATCAAATTATATATTATCAGAGTGAGTTTAATATTTTCTTACATCTCTATTTAATATAAATCTCTAATTAATAGATATATACTTTATATATTGTTTATGCATTGTTCTTTTTAATCCTTATTATGTTTCAGAGGAAATTTTTGAAATTTGGAAGATACTTGATTATACCACAGAGTTTGACAAGCCACAAAACAAATTCTCTGTTGCGAGAGCCCTTGATACCTCAACAGAAATTGAACTTCCCTTAGTGGAACAAAAATTCCTTGATCTCCAGATAGATGAAGACTTGCATATTCTTCCAGGTGAAATTCCTGATGGCAAACTGCAAGTGCTTGTAAGTATATTTTGATATGACCTAACTTGACAGTTGTATGTCAAAAAAAATATTGTTAACCTTAATGTTAAATCTTTATGTTAAGCCAAAGCCTGCATGTCCATAAATCTTTAGGTTTAAGGATATATATGCTCTTTCCAAGATCCTCAGATTTTATATATAATATATTTCAAACATTTTTATTCATCCAGATGCAAGATGCAGTTTGCCTAAATTTTGGCATATTAACTAATAAGGAATTGGACTTTATGCTTCAATATGAGAGTGATATCACATTGTTAGTTCCTGTGATTTCTGTACCTTCCATATCAACTTCCTGAATCCAATGTAGAAAAATTTAATTCTTTATAAACTATAACATGTAACAATATGCATCATATATGTGCATTATCTTTTTCTCTACCTTTCTTTTTTGGTTTTAAAATTAGTTTATATATAGCAGTAATATTTAATAGAATATATACTTTGTTATACAGGGGAATGAAAGAAATAACGCAGATCACAGACAACAGGAAGGAAAACACTACAGAGATAACTGATACAGAAATTGCAGCAGGTAGAATTTCTTGTAATATTCATTTTTTTATTATCACTTTGACATTAGTGGTAATTTTTCAAATTGAAGATATTAGTGTTTAAAAGATTATCACCTTGTATTTAGATACTATAAAAATAAAGTAAATTCGTAAAATTATAATAAATCTCATAGTAGCAATTTTTTGGTACAGAGTTCCGCCGAGAGATGCAATTACCTCGTGCAATCTTGAGTCCAGTGCTTTCGGATAAATCAAAAATAACAGATGAGTTTAGAGAAAATTTACCTTTAACTCCACGAAAACGACTGCCACGTCAGTTGCAGGGAGAAACACCAACGAAAAGGAAGCGCGTATGTATTTTATAATTTATAACTATATAATTTATCGTTATAATACATAATTTATTACCATTTGAAAGCAGTATATAAACAATACCAGGAATGACTTATACTACACACATTACATTTTATTATAATATTCACTGAAATTCTTTTCTATATATTATTTTACAGATATTGGAAAATATTGAATTACCTATTATGGATACTTTGAATGTAGCTGCTGCACCTCTAGAGGATACACCAATGCCAGAACAAAGACTAACTTATACATTGCCTGTAAAAGATATGGAAATGACTTCTTTACGACACATAATCACAGACATTGATATGGAATTAGAACCTATACATTCGAGTCTTGATACATTTGTAGTAAAAAAGAAAAATTTAGTTATTGATAAAAGGATAACATTAACAGACACAATATTAAAAAAGTGGCGTCAAAATATAAATTTTGAATGCAGAGTAAGTTTCCAACTTATATAAGTTCGTATAGAGTCATAAAGTATACAAACCTGAAGATCTTTTAAGTCTAAGAATGCAATATTTCAGACAGTCTAATCCTGAGAAACTTTCAAAAACAACATACAACTAACATTATCTCATACTCTTAACTCATTCTTTGGATAATACTTGCAGGGGATGAAAATACCGCGAACATATGTGATACCGTTCATTGATCTCTTGAAACGACCATTACGATGTAATACAAAATCTTTGTGCAAACTTTATATTAACCACATTGAAAAAATATGCAGTAGCGCAAACGAAGACATTGTACCTGTTTTTATGCAAAGTACAACATAGACTCATATTCAAATATTCACTTATTAAACATTCTTGTTAAAACTTAATGCTATAAATAAATGTATATATTTAATTCCAGCTCAAGAAGAAATACGTGAATTACAAAAGACAACAGAGGACTATACAGCACCAATGACAAGTAAGCTCATTGAGCTCGAACAACTCTCCACTGAACAATTTAGTACTGTTCAAGCTCCACCGTTAGTATAACAATCTCATCTAAAAGACTAATTTCTTAAAACTATCGCGTTGATTCTTGCTTGTCCTTTATTTTCAATATACAAATTTAGAACATATATAATAACCAAAATGTTTTTCTAATTTCTTTCCTTTTATTTTCATAATTCTCCCTTTTTTTCTTACATCACTATTTCTCATGTTTCCAACATTTTGATTCCTCAACATTTCAAATTCACAATGTCTCATTTATAAAATTATTATTTCAGTGTTATTGACAGACCACTACATCAGGAGACAAGAACAGATATGGATACAGATGTTACTGGTAGCCTTGAAGATATAGAAATTTTACTGGGAAAGATACAAGCTCCTTCCACAACAAAAAATCAACTTTCATTATCTTCTACATGGTACCTCGAAATTTTCTTTGCCTGTTAATTTGCAATATTTAATGTATCAATTGTTTAAACTACATTGGATTCTTGCAGATAAATTTTGTTCTCAGTTTTCCCCATTCCGTTTTCAGATTGAGAACAAAAAATGTTTTTTAATTATTTATTACATATCGCCTTCTTAAAATAGATATTTGAAATTATTAAAATATTAATTTATAATTAATCAGCTTCATACACACGCGCGCGCAAATTAAAGCAACATAACTTTCTGCTTTAGCATTCTTTTTAGCAAGTCATTTTCATTCGATATTTTTATTTAAGAACTTTTTTTCTTTTTTTATAAGGCTTATCCTTACGGAAAAAGTGTATACACTCACATTTAAGAGTAAAAAGTGTATACATTTGAGAGTAAATTCGAATAATTGAATGTAGATACTCAATATTTGAGTGTTTTTTCCGTAAGGGTAATTTATTGTTGTCTTAAGAAAGAAACTCTCCAATGTATAACAAAGATATTCTTTTTGTTGTCAGCTCAAGTAAAAAGTCACACTATACACCTTTAACGAGCCGAGAAATCTTAGCTTTCCTAGAGGTATTATGGTGTAATCAATCATATGTAAAGTTCAGTGATCTCGTCCCAAAAAATACAAACACGGAACAGAATGCATATACGAAACAAGATGCTGCTACAGTCTTTTGCATTCTTCTCGGTATGTATTTATTCGTTTGTCAACATTTCCAGTTATGTCGATTTCAGATTACAATTTGTTTTTATAATATTGTTTTTATAATATTATTTTCACGGTAGAGCTCCATGCTCAGAAGAAATTAATTCTACATCAAACCGAGTTTTATCATACTCTGTGGATTCAGAAATACGAGGAATACTCTGATTAAATGGAATTGAAATGTATAGTACAATGCAGCCATCGATTCAGTACCTGATTCAAGGATGTAACTTATCAAACTTATTTTAATTTAACTTATTCTAACTTCATTTTTTCTTTAACTTATTTTATTTAACTTTAATAGATATATATTGATTAATGTTGATTGCACCTGCAAAACAGGAAAAAGTTTCTTAACAATTGATATTATTTCCAAGAATATATGAAGAAAAAAAATATTTATTTTTGATATAATACAATAACAAGATGATTCAATAACACACACATACACACAAGTCATGCAATTATAAATTTTCAAAATTTAGCAACACTTCTGGAGTAATATGACATAACAACATAGCAAGTGATTATTTATTTTTAAATAGTATAATTTATCAACTGCTCAAATAGTCTTTTATTTACATACCTTTTTTATAGTGTTATAGTTTTTATAGTTTTTAATAGTTTTTTATTTACACTTTTATTTAACTATTGAGACTTTTGTCCACAAGTACAACTTCATGATAAATTATATGGATCTTCCTAATAACACAATGGAATGATATAATTTTATTTCTAATAATTTACATAAATCAGCATAACAATATCATCCTCACACTTACTAGATCTAAGGTTTGTTTTCTATGAAGCTGAAGTGAGGCACCAAATTAGATAATAAAAATGGGAACTGACAAATATAAGAGTACAGTGAGGCAAAAGAACTAATGCTAAATAAATATGTCGTGAGAAATATATATAAATATATGTATAAGATATATGTAAATATAACAATATGTTATGTTTTATGCATATATACAACTATATATACACACAAATATAAATTTGTAATATAAATTTTTTTTAAAGAACTTGATTTAGTAAAAACTTGTACAATATAAGTTAGAATGAGATAAATTTCCTTTCCTTTACTCCAATTTATTGCAATTTGTTTAGGAAGTCTTTGAAAAAAAAGGTCAGACTATATATCTATGTATACCTATCATACACACACACACACACGCATATACAAGTGATCTCAGCATTAGGTACTTACGAAATGTCTAGGGTTAGGTCGAGTTGAGTTAGTTTCGCTATAGTATCTGTTACATATATTATAGTGGAACTAACTCAACTCGACCCAACCCTGGACATTTCGGAAGCACCTGTTATATTTATGATTTTATAAAAGTTCACATTTAAAATGTATTGTTTCCTCAGTAGTAAAAACAAAGTTTTAAATTGTAAATGTATGTAATAAAATGCTGCATTGCAAAAAAAAACGACGCTTAAGTATACTATAACTTTTACTATAAAAAATGCTTCAGTCATTGAGCTTTATGTATATATATATAGTAATTATTTAGAAGTCTAACAACACCTTGGATTTCGCTCAAACTTTGCACAATTGTGTATTTTGGTACGTAAAACACGATTTTGAAAGAAAAAAATGTCGCTCTCAAATGGATCAAAAGTTATGAAGTGATAAAAAATGACACGCGAGGTTAGGAAATCTGTCATACTTGGTTCAGTTCAGTTAATTCATTCATTATTCATTCATGCAATAGATGGCTGTATACTGGAAAACAAACTAACGCCAACTCCCAGATCAAATGTATTCTACGTAGATAAGTTGTTCGGAGTCAGTTCCTGTCCGTAGGAAATTATTACAACATTCTCTGCGTGTCCCTCAGGAACTTAGCAATTTCTTTAAAAACAGGAATGTTATCTATCTTCAAGGCTTCCTTCGCCAATTGATCATAATTTGAGTCGAAGCCTCTAGCATATAGTTTTACCAATAGTTGGCCAGCTTCTCTGAGGAAATTTGGGCATGAGTATAGAATATGTTTCAAATCCAGTCATAGGCCGGTATTCATAGTTAGGTCTTATATTTAAGACCGTCTTAAGTTCACTTTCAAGTACTCCATAGCCAATGAAATGATTTGTACAGCATCTGGAGATAAACTTAAGATGATCTTAAATATAAGATCCGACTATGAATACAGGCCATAGACTCCGCAGACACAGCAGTCTTCTTCAATAATGCCTAATCTTAAATGCAACGAGGTGAGGAAACGGAATTATCTCAACCTGGCCATGAGAATAATGACCGGACGTTCGGTAGCGCCCAACTTCATGAATCAGGGAGTTCTACAGATTTCCTTAACCCTTTGATTGTGAATGACGTCAGGCTTGATAAACTCTTATGGGAAAATTCTGACCAGTGTTTTAACGCCATCTAAAAGATAGCCCCCAGGAAATGTGAACTACGATGCCAAAAATTCAATATGGCGACTGTTATAAGACTGGTGCGTGTATATGTTACTTATGTTCGCTGAACGCAGCCAACTATATTTCTACAATAAATATTTGAACGTTGTTTAACACTTCTTGTAATTAAAGGAATATTTTTATGTGTGGTCATCGTCGCTCGCTCCAAACTACCATATATACGGTGAAGGTAAAGACATATTAACACGCTTGTTATTTAGACGTAAGTATTTGTTACGTTACTTTTTATTTGTAGCATCGAAAATGTTTTCAGCGTACGTTGCGTCATAGATTTTAAAAGAACGTCCCTCTAAGATATTTGAGCATAGATATGGGGAGGACATGTTGTGTTCCTGGATGCAAGTCTGGGAAAGAAGTGCCTTCATATCGATTTCCCAAAGATCCTGAAAGATGCTCAAAATGGGTACAAAGTTTGAAATTGAAACATTTAGAAAATTATCCAAGCAATGAGATACAAAAAAATAAAGTGTGCCATAAACATTTTCGTCAGAAGACTATAGTCCATGTTTGCATAAACGTGTTTTATTAAATGTTGCGGTTCCTGTATTGTTTATACATAATAGTATAGATGCGGAATCTAACAAGATGCATATATCGCAGCAACAGCAATCAATAATTGATATATCAGAATATGCACAACACAGTCAAGATCCACAATGTGCAAATAATAAATACATATCTGTAGAAGAAAATGAAAAGTTAATGGATTGCAGCAATACACATGAAAAAGCTTGTGAAAGCTCAGTGTCTGAACAAGATAAAATAACTTCTGTTCTTCATAATTATGGAAACAGACTGCAAACATTAGAAATGCAAATGCAAAGTATACAAAATATAATAAAAAAACGACCTCAGCTACAAGAAATCACTCAATCTAAAAATTTAAGCCCCATATGTAGGAGATTTTATGATATGAATATTAAACTTAAACGTCGCAATAGATATTTAAAGCGCTTAATATATAATAATAAGTAGCAGAAAAAAAGAAGAACAGTACCTATTGTATCCAGTACTTCAGATCCAAGAAATAGTATTACAGCTGTACAAGATAATTTCGTCCGAATGATCTTAAAAAATAATGATGTACTTCCCCAGGTACTTAGCACTTAGTGTCACAGAAAAAAAATATTCTTATATTTTAAATCATGAACTTTATAAAAATTATTTATGTATATAATATTTTACATATCAATTGTGTATATATATATATTTTTTTTTCTTTTTAACGACAGACTACATTTTACATGTACTCCTAAATTACATGTGGATCCTAAATTGAACATATAATCCTAACATGTAATGGAAATGGAACATGTAATCCTAAATTTTAGTGAAGGTAAAATTATATTTAAAATCTGTGAAATTGTACGTAATATATAAACATATGATTTTTATATACTTTCTATAACCTACTGCATTATATCTTTATTATTGCAGGAGTTGTTAAAACACAGCATGGTAATATAACGTTTTCTGAAACCGCTGAAACTATATCCACCATCTTATCATTTTTCAATGATTTGTTTGATTCCTTTAATGGGAATAAAGGACAAGGACTGAGTAGCATATTAACAGCAAACAATGGACATATTTCTTTCTGGAAAGAAGCATGCAATAAATTAAAAAACATGCAATATGTTGAAAAAGGAACTCGTCAAATAATTAAAAAGAATAGCCCAAAATGTTTGAAAAACTGGTTTCGTAATATTAAAGCTGTACAAGAGATATGGAACATATTACAGGATGCTAATTTTGAAACATTCAATTTGAAGTTTCTTAATCAGGATGTTATCGAAAACTTTTCAGCCAAATTAGAAATTTTGGAGGCAGTAACAATAATCCAAATCCGAAGCAATACCAAGAAGCTTTCAAAGCTTCGTTAATATGCAATGTAACATCTAAGCATTCTTTTGGAGCAAACTGTGCAGAAGATAGTGTAGGAACATCTTTAGCTCTATCACATATGATGGATTTGGATGAAATAGCACACGAAAGAGAAGCTGTCGAGCAAGATATAGAAGAAACAGAAGAAACATCTATTTCTCAAACTACAAGTACTGAATTAACAAGAACAACTCTCAAAATTATTACGATTGTTAGTCATGATCAGAATGTTATAGAATGCACAATATGTTCCAATAATCTAAACGATGTAAAACTTTTACATTTTATACAACATGTGAATGCTACACTTCAAATTAAATTCCTAGATATTGGCTGTGAACTTAAAGTAGCAGAGAAGGTACAAACAATTTTAGAAAAAGAACAGCATTTATTGCCATTACTGTCGCAATGTACACATTTAATAACAACACTTTTTACAACTAAAATATCAATTTATTAAAACTTAGTGTACACATATCAACAACATTTTATGTAAAAAGATAACAACAGATAGCGATAATTATATGTATAAAGCAGCAATGCGAATATCAACAAAATATGCAAAAAAAACAGTGAAAAAAAATAAAATAAAGAATGAGTATACATTGTTTTAAATTGTTTATTTTTTTAAAATTGCTTTTTAGTTATTCATTTTGTTCCAAATCCAATAAATTGATTAAAATTTAAATATAAAATTAAATATACTAAAACGAATAAGAGCTCATCTTTATCGATCGGTAAGTTACTTTGCTACGTAGTTCATATATTATTGGGGGTCATCTTTTACATGGCGTTAAAACACTGGTCAGAAATTTTACATGGAAGTTTAATAACCCTGGATAACGTGTATAGCCGCACGAAAAAGTCGTGCCACCAGTGTGGATGACGTGTATACACGCATCGAAGAAAAAAAATAGTAAATCTATTGTTTTTTGCATACAAAATGGCGGATCCAATATGGTGGATAAAAATTATGAAAATAATCAGATATTTATGAAAGTGAGTATCTATAGTTTTTGGGGTCGCTGAATCCGAATCTGATATCAAAATTTCAAAATTCAAAATGGCCGATCGACCATGGTGTGTCAAAATTATGAAAATAATTAGATTTTAATGAAAGTCGGTATTTATATGTTTTTGGGATCGCTGAATCCAAATTTGATATCAAAATTTTAAAACTAAAAATGGCGGATCTAAATTTTGAAAATCAGATTTTCATGAAAGTGAGTGATTTTGACACACCATGGTCGATCGGCCATTTTGAATT